ATGTCTTATTTTTGTGGAAAAGGGGATGAATTCTACACTTAAGAATGATTAAAATGGTAAGTATTAGGTTTCATTTATTTACTGCACACACACCACACACACACACAGAGCAGGAAGTACAAAAAGTGATGGTCAGAGTGGGACATTTGGAGTTTAGGATTGCAGGATTTCAGCAGTAGTTCAGATTATGACAAAGGCTCAGATGTAGCTATGGGGATGGGTAACTAAATAGAATGGAGATTAAAGATCGCTGGCTTTGGGAGGGCGGTCTGTTCTGGGAGGTTGGATGAATCATGCGCTTGGAGCTTGACCTGCGGCCTACACTGTCCCCCTGACCCACAAGCCCCCTCTTCTTAATTCCTGCTCACCTCTAATACCTCCAAATCTCCCAGAAGCCAAGGATCCAAAGGTATTCTCAATATCCTCAACCCCCTTTTCCTTTCAACTTCCTTTGAGACTCTCCTACTTCACCCCTACAGTATGGAGGGAGGAATGATGCTACTCTCTGGGGGAAAGCAACCCATAGTGCAGGACTTGTAATAATTCTAACATTTATTATCTAATGGCTCACAATCTTGTCTGTTTATCACAACTTGCATTAACATTTTGATATATTTGCTTCCAGTGTTTGTGTGTCTGGTTTTCAAGTAGTTGTAATACTTTTACATTTTTATCATCATCATATAAACACTTTTCCATATTACGAAATAGGCCTTATAAGGATATGTTCCTAGTGTCTTTGGCAATCTGATACCCAGGACCAAACCACAAGTAACTGAATAGCTCTCAGAGAACTTGTAGGGAGAAGGAAGGTATGAGTGGGGACCGGACAATAAGGGTGGGATAGGGAAAAGCATGAGAACATTTTTAGCTGTAAGTCATGAGGAGGACACATGGGGGTACAAAGATTCAGCAATGGTTCCTTTTTCCTTTCAGTGTGAATATCAGATGGTAATTAAAATTCTATGTATTTTCCACAAAAAGTGTCGATGTGAAAATAATGACTCTAGAAAACAGCAAGAAAGGAGAAAAATAATAAAAATCTAGTTTTGCTGTTAAAAAAACAAACCAGTATATTGCGTTGGCCAAAAAGTTTGGTTTGTTTTCTGTAAGATGGCTCTACTAGTGCTTAATTGTCTTTAACTTTGTTTGAAACAATTTTGTTAGATTGTATGGTGACAGCTGTCATGTCAGTGCGCATTTAAAAAGAAACGTAACCCAAATTGATGAATTTTTGTGCAGCCACTTTAATATTGAAGGTGGAAGAAAATAAGCAACATTTTTGGCATATTATGCTTTACTATTTCAAGAAGATAAAAACATGACTGGAAATGCAAGAAAAGATTTGTGCTGTGTATGGAGAACGTGCTGCGACTGATTGAACATGTCAGAAGTGGTTTGTGAAGTTTTGTGCTGGAGATTTCTCGCTGTACAATGCTCCGTGGTCGGGTAGACCAGTTGAAGTTGATAGCCATCAAGTCGAGACATTAATTGAGAACAATCAACATTATACCATGCGGGAGATAGCCAACATACTTAAAATATCCAGATCTCTAAAGTTATTGGTGAAAATTAAAAGTGTCTTTTATTTTACAGAAAAAACTAGACAGACTTTTTGGCCAACCCAATAATTATGTAGACTAGTTGCAGTATAATAATAATTACTCTTATAAACTACAATTTGGTTAAGATCGACTTGGTTAAAAGTTTTGTTTGAGTACAACAGCAAGCCATGCATAATGGCCCTGGTAACACCAATACCACTTCTTCAGTCAGCAGATATTTATCTTTTACCCACCGTATGGTAGCACAACTACTTTCAACTTAAAAATATTAAAGACAATATGGATGGCAGGCTTAGAACTGAAGTTTTAGGAGCAGGCTGAATGACTTAGAAGTCATTAAAAAATGGTAAGACATACACTGCAAGCAAAATAATTCATTGATAGTATAGAATTAGTGGCCTCTCTGGCTTCCAGAGAAGTCCTTTTATTTCCAAATACTCACTAGAGGGAACAAAGGCTTCTTTGGAATTTATAACATTGCAAGGGGCCTTTGGGAGATTTTCAGATTATTGAATTGCAAACTTCAAAACTGGGCAGACAGAAAATCTTGTATTGGTAAAAGCACTCTATCATACATTTGCATTATATATGTCATGTTGTCTTTTATTTTAGAAGACATACAGCTGTTCAAAGCTTTGACTTCTGTGTGTGGTGTTTGCTATTTGATATAAGTGCTCATTAAAACTGGATAACAACAATTATGCATACAAGTGTGGGCAAAAGTAGGTTTACAGTTGTGAGTATGTGAAACAGAATTCTTGTATATTTATTAAGTATTGTATTATTTATTATTATTAACCTACTTTTGCCTAACCCTGTATATACATATCAGATTTTTGGCATGCTCAGCTTTGTGTGTATGTGTGTGTGTGTGTGTGTGTGTGTGTGTGTGTACATACACATGCCTCTCTTTTCTATCAAGGCAGAAGTTCAATTAGATGACATACTTCACCATCTTGAAAAAGAACTGAACCTCATGCTACCACAAAAGGACAGCTCTATTTCATCTGGTACCTATTCCAGTACAGTGAGACATGCTGAGGACTGCTTCCAGAAATCTAGAAGAACTTTCAGTGAAGGACATGGAAAACATGAAGAAGTAAGAACTCATAACATAAAACTTTAAGATACCTGTGGTTTTGTTCATTGTCCATTAAATTAACACATTAAAAACCAACATTTGAATATCATGGTGGAGTTTGCAAAGCGCTCATGTGTACTTTTTTTTCATGAAATATAGGGTTGGCAGAAGTAATGCCTGCTTGAGTGTGGTTGGTAGGGTAATAATATGGGTATAATAATTTATAGTTTTAATTTGAACATTTCACCTAAAATGCCATATGGTGTGCTTGAGGGTGATATTGTTATGTTACAGAATTATACTCTTATGATTTTGTAATAAAAAAGGGGCATTATTTGTGCTGGACCCTGTATTTCAACAGTCTGCACTGATATCCAGTAGAGGACAGGTACAGGATTACTGGTCAAACATTCAGATAGGTCTGTTCCTAGTGGCTTTCATTTTCTTGGTAAATTCTTCCTTGTTTCAGCCAACTCTTCCTTTTTGGTTTAGAAATCTAAGTGGATCTGCTTCTCAAAGGTACTGTTGTATTAACTAAACTCATAGAGAATTTTTTTAGAGAAATAGACACCAGCCTATTAATTAACAATAAGAAATATAATTGCCAGAGGAACGAATCACACATGTCCTGCGGCCTGATGCATTCTCTCCCTACAGGCGCACTACATAGGATGGGAAGCCACATTTTAATCATGTTTACTTGGTGAACAGATGATTCTAAAATTTTGTCATACCAGCTATGATAGTCCTATTTACACAATAGGGCTATCTATATCTGCCGTTTTTTCTAGACCTGTTATATCCTAGGACCAGAGTATCTAGCCCTTAGGTGAGTAAATAATGGCATCTTTTGACTCTCTATCTTTGATGTCCCAATACTGATCAACCTATTTTCTGACATATTCTTTCTTTGAATGATTTAATTCTCTCAGGCTGCTTAGGAATCATCACTCTGCTCTGTTTCCACATCTCAGTTCAGATGGATAACTTGTTGATTTTAAAATTTAACTCTTAGAAGGCAATCTGATTTCCAAACTCTTTAAAGAGGAATGCACCTCCTTTGGAACAAAAGCTGTAGAGCGTTAATACATCTAATGATCATGAACTTTAACATGAGACAGATGGAGGTGAAAAATTGCCTTTAGAACTGTCCGTATAACCTTGGGCAAGTAACTTGATTTTTTTAAGCTTGAAAATAATAATAGTTTGCTCAAAGGTATTTCTGAGGTTTACCAGGGACTGTGAACAAACCTTTCGCATGCCTACTTGACACCTAACAAGTATTTCATAAATTGTAGTTATTATCATTAGAAATAGGTATTATTCTTCGTGCCATTTTAAAGAGGAGGAAACTGAAGCTTACCAGGAAGCTATAAAGCTAGACTGCAATCCTGTTTTCCTTCTATAACATTCAGCTTTTTTAAAAAATCATCCTCACCTGGGACATGCTTATTGACTTGTAGAGAGGGGAAGGGAAGGACAGAGAGAGAAACACCAATCAGTTGCCTCTCAGACATGCCCTGACCAGGGACTGAACCCCAACCTAGGTATGTGCCCTGACTGGAATCGAATCCATAACTTTTTGGTTTATGGGCCGACCCTCCAACCAACTGAGCTACAACAGCCAGAGCTAACACTCAGCTTTTTATTCATATTCTGAGGAGTTGTCCGATAGGATTCAAAACAATTCAGCAAAATACAATTCGGTTATTTCGGTAGTCCACTTCTAAGCATTCTGGCCTACGTGATTGTGCAGTTTAGCTCTTCCTCGTATTCCTTGCATGACAAGACAAATGTCTTAGCCTGTCTCAGCCTGCTTCCTCGCCTATAAAGGGGAGGATTATAGTCCCATAGAGTTGTGGTGAAAATCAAGTACAGGGTGGGGCAGAAGTAGGTTTACAATTGTTGGTATGAAAAATAATACAATCATAAATAATACAAGAATAAAAACTCTTTCATGGACTCACAACTGTAAACCTACTTTTGCCCCACCTGGCATTTGATGTCTTTAGCACATTAGTTCCTGGAGCATACACCATATTTTGCTGTGTACCATGTGCACTTTTTTGCCCCAATTTTTGAGGGAAAAATAAGGATGCGCATTATACATGGGTAGTACTAATTCCGTATTTTTTATAAATGTTTTTAATTATTTTATTTATGCTTAATGTGTTAAAAATGTAACTCTAGAAAGCAACAACAATATCTGTATGCAAAATAATGCCCTGGAATATGATAATCTGTTTTGTTTCTAAATATAAGTAAATAAATAATTGAATTAAAATTTTTTTCCCTGAACACTTGGGCCAAAAATGTGGGCTCACATTATACATGGCAAAAATATGGTAGTTAGCTTTGTTTTTTTTTTTTGACCAATACCCAAGTTTATTTAACAAAAGTTCAATGTGAAAATGTACAAGACTCGATTTTCATATTGTAGTAAAACAGGAGGTGTGGAGAGGAGACGTAGAAGCACGCTGATTTCTCTGGTGAACACAGCCATTCTTTATACTTGTCCCAAGGCTTCTAACATGATGATACTCTTGCCTCATATTACCACCATTCCAATATTATTCTGTTGTCCACTTGTTGTCATCTCCACACATTCATCTATCACAAGGTTCATAAAGGGATCAAATCCCTGCAATATTCCTTGGACATGCCTGCCACCATTTAATTTCAATGATAAATTCTTGTCCATAAATTTTTTTAGTTCAGGAGGGTGAGCTTTGCTCATAGTGTCTGTTCAGCGAGCTCAAAGATACCTCCGAAAGAAATTCTTAGCCTCTTACGCTCCCACGGTAGGCCTAGAGTTTAACTTTCAATCTGTTATTAGCCATATAAAAGTACCTCATGTGAAGCTGCCATATTAACCAGAAACTATTTTTAAAGAATACCCAATAATTTATTTCAATAGACTCTCCTATTAACATTTCAGACATCGCAATCAGTTTAGAGTAGGAGTATAAACATAATTGTGTAGATTTTTCACTGTTCATGGGTATCATGACCATGTTTCCTAAACCATACATAAGAAGATTTGATTTGAAACCTGATATGTTAATGGTAAAAATATTAGAAATAGTGACTGTCTCATAAAATGTGTGGTTACATGCCATCATATCTATGGGAAGTGGTGTCTGATAACCTAGGATCACTGTTTAGAGAAAGAGACACACACTAAGAAGGGCTGAGTTTTCTGTTTATTTCCCAGATTGTAGACCATTGGTATGGTGATCTCTTAATGGCTCTTTAACTTAATAGACTTTTAATATGGGTTAAAATATGAACCATGGAGTAAGAGTAAACAAATGTATTATTTTCTTTTTAGGTGGGAAGTTATACAAACCATGTCTCTAATTTACCAGAGGGAAGAGAAGCACTTTCTCATGGTTATGAAAAGGAAAACAAACATCTTAGACATGAGTTTAAAGAGCTCCAACTCAAACAGGGTAATTTCTCTTTTTGTAAAAATCTAATTTTAATTATAAAAATTAATATGTGACAATTAGAAAGTTTGAGAAATGTATAAAAGTAGAAGGAAGGGGAAAAATACTACATGTTCTCCACATTACAAAAGTACATGTAATGTTTAAGATGTATTTTCTGCCTGCCTTTTTAAGGTATGTATTCTGAAATACTCTGAAATGTGAAAGAGCGCAGAATGGTTACTTCCTTCAACGTCTACTACAACACTTACCACAGGTGTCATAATCGCCTGTGCCAGCTTCCCTGGGGCAGAGATCAGGTCCTAGCCTCATTGTGGTTTCTGTGTTCCCCGCAGCGCCTGCCTTATAAACGCCTAGCATAGAAAGGACTCAGGAAATATTTAATAAGCACTTTAAAGCTGTAAGGGAAGATACAGATAGGATCCTTTATGTTATTTTTCTACGTTGTTTGGCTCCACAAATTAGTAGTATTGTATGTGATCAATGATTATATTTACCACACATTTCTTATTTCTTTGCTCAGTATTTTTCCTTGCATCTCAGATATTTCATTTGGGATCGTTTTCCTTTTTTTCACTTTAGAACTTTACTTTATGAGGGTTTGTTGATAGAAGTTTTTTCTTTATTGTGGCTCAGGTACAGGGGAGGGTGAGTTAATCATAGGACATGTTTCCATGGTCTTGTTTCTTTTTTTTTTTTTTAATTTTTCCCTTTCTTGTTTTTCCATTGGATATATTGAGTTTTCTCCTGCTGTTTAAAAGTTTGCATTCTATTTTTGTTCATATAGTGGATGCATTTTAAGAGTTTTCTTTAATTTCTTTTAGCATTATTTCTATTATTATTTCTTTTTTTTTTTTTTTTTTTGACTGTTCACAGCATAGGCTTTATTCAATAACCAGAGAATAGAGAAGTGGGAGTTTTAAACTCTCAAATCAATTTCTCCTCTTCTAGCATTTTTGGTTACTCTCAGCAGGAGGTTTGTTCAGGGCTCATTGCCAGAAGCAGAACATACTGTACATCTTTCTGCCAGTGTAAATTCGCTCACAAAGAATTGGTAAATAGGAGAAAGATGTCATTATAAGGTGGAAGTTTATATATAATTTTTCCTAGCATGTTAATTATTTGGGCTACCAGCAAGCCTTGAAGTTTCTCCCCACAATTTTTCCACTCATCCCACAATTTTTCGGACTCAGTTTGGCCATATGTTTTTGCCTTGGAAGTGCTCATTGCAAAGATATCCCTAATCTTTGAGTATTCTGACTTGATTTCCATAACTGCAGAATCAACTCCCTAAAGCATGCTTGATTGTGTTTTAAAAAACAATTTCATATTTACTATAGTATTCCTTTATTTTTTAGGAATTTGACCTATCTCTTTAAATCTACCAATATAATTATTGTAATTTTTAATGTCTTTTCTAGCACTCCGGTTACACAATGACAAAGGTTGTGAATGGTCTGTAGAATGTTTTTCAATAAGCTCTATTATTTTTAGTGAACAATTTTACAAATAAAAGTTGTTCTTACGAATACTTGTCAGTCACATCAGAAATGCTTATATAAAGGATTATCTTTTGAAGGCAGAGATAACATAATTTGATAATGGATTTAACATTGGGTGGGAGAAAAGCAGGAAATCACTGGTGGCCCAAAGCTTTTTGGTTTGAGCAGTTAGAATAGTGGAGCTCCTAACTATTCAGATGGGGAGAATATGGGCAGTCACATGTAGGGGAGACAGATTGCTTTTTGGACGTGTAAATTCTGAGATCTATATTAGACATCCAGATGGAAATGTCAAGTAGACAATTATGTACATATTTGCAATTCAGTGCAATTGAGATGTAAATTTGGAAGTTATCAGCACCTAGCTAATACTTAAAGCCTTGGGATTATAGGACCTAACCTAGGGAGAGAAAAGGAGGAAAGAAGATTCAGGGCTGGCTTATTCTAGTATTTAGAGGTTAGAAAGATGAGAAATCAGCAAAGGAGCCTGAGAAAGAGTGGCACTTGAAATAGGAGGAAAACCAGCAGAGTGTGGTGTCTCAGAAGAGAAATGACAAAAGTGTTTTAAGAAAAGGATGTGACCAACTGGGTCAAATACCATTTGTAGGCTAGGTGGAATGAGGACACACAGTGGACCATTAAATTTGGCCATGGAAGTCGTTAGTACTTTGATGAGAGCTGTTTCTGTCGAGTAGTGGATATGAAAGCCTGATTGGAGTGGTATGAGAGGAAGGGGGGACACGGGTATGATCAATTCTTTCTTGAAGTTGTTCTGTACAGAAGAATGAATAAATGGTACAGAAGCTGGAGGGGGCAGTAAGGTTGAAGGGAGATTTTTTAAATTTGTTTTTGTTGTTTTTAGTGGGACATGTAGCATGTCTCTAAGATGATTATAATGCTTAGCTGGAAAGAAAGCTTGATGAAACAATAGAGAGAGGAGTCAATTGGAAGAGTATTATCTTTGAGATAAGAGGGAATGGGATCCAGTGTACAAGGGAAGGGGCTAGATTTAGGAGCAAAGATATGTACATTAAGTCTCACAAGAGGGAAGAGTATGTGGGAGTTGGCAGATTTAGTAAAAGCAGTTTGTGAATGTTCTGAGTGCTTCTCTTTTCTCAGTGAAATAAGAGGCAGGGTATTCAGCAGAGAGTGAGGATGGGAAAAGAGGTATTGGAGATTTGAGGAGGAAAAGGAATGAAATAATGGTCTATGTCTGTAGAGAATTAGAGAGAGAGAGGACCAAGGAAATGCAAGAGCATTACTAGGCAGAAGTAGGAGTTTGCTTGAGATCAGAAGACATGAATTTAACGTAAAATCCGTCAGCACTGGCTGTGCAGTTTCATCCAGCCACATTCAGCTTCTGCAGTAAGACGCAAAAGAGGTGGAGAGTTGGATTTAAACATATTGGAGTTTTGCCAACCAAATATAACAGAAGGAAACAGGGGCAAGGGAGTTATGAATGTTTTCAGGGGAGTGATTATAATGATATACTATAGAATCTAAGCTGGGTAAGGAACTAAATGAGAATGGGAGTGGGGTAAGGAACATGGAAAAGTGCTTAAAGTCGATGGATTATAGTTTTTAGTATGGTTGAAAACTTGTTGAAATCGTGCTACTGGAAGTACATAGGAAGGAATAATTGGAGAATAGGGTGCTTGCAGTTGAGACTAGGAAGAGGCCCCAGTTATGGCTAATGAAAATGCCTAGGGAAATAGTATGGAGTAGGTGGCCAAGGTAGGGAAGAGGACTGGATCTTCAGAAGTTAGCCGGTGAAAGGACTGACAAGGCAGGGCACTAGAATATTGAAATCACCAAGAATTGTGGCAGGATTAGTTGAGTGACCTTGGGCAATGTATCTGGATTCTTGGTGTCTGAGTCTTCCTTTCATAAAAGCATAATTCCTACCTCATTGGGTTTTTTTAAGGATTAGCTAAGATAAATTTATCTCAGATACTTAGTATAATACCTTCCATATAGTAAGCATTCAATAAAACAAATTTTAAAGTTATACAAGAATAAATTTTAAACTGCAAGTAGCAAGAATGTCTACTCCTTTTGAGAACTTTTCCCACTACTTTTTATGTTATAATATTGAAAGTTTGCAAACACCCTGGAGAGATGGGGAGAAGTGTAGTAGTATTATTATAGTTTACTTTTAAAATTAATTTGTTATCTAATTGAGAACTAATTTAACATCTTATAGAGTAGTTATTTACCTGCACTTCTTTTAAGTTTGTTTCTGTTATTTCTCCCTAACAGAAGCGCAAATAAAGGACGTTGAAGAAATGTATCAAGAAGGCTCTGAAATAGCTCTGAGTAGCCCCAGTGAACAGATTACATACTTACGGGTGGAGAAAAGTAAACCCTTGAGTACACTGGAACTTGGGGACTCAAAGCCAGAGTCACAAAGATGTGTGAGCAGCAATCTACAAAAAGAATTTCCCCAGGTATTCTAAAATTAACTAGATAATTGAATAGGAGGCAGTCAGTTCTAAAATGCATTTGTTCATTTAATCATTCATTCATTAAAATATCAGAAAGCCAGTCCTAACAGTACTTAAAAATATAGGCTTTAGGTTGGGTGGTCTTCCTTTGTCCTTGAGGAAGTTAGTTAACTTTTGTGAGCCTTGATTTTCTCACCTATAAAACCTGGGATCAACTTAACTACTCTACAAGATGATCATGAAAATGAAATAACTTAATATATATAAAGCTGTAGAGTAGTACCTCACACATTAATTACCATTATTGTTATTATTTATTGAGAACTTGACATGTTCCTGCTAGTGAATGTAGAAACAAAGTGAAATTAAACATGTAGACATGATCTGGACTGCAAGGAACTTACAAGCCAATGAGGGAAAGGAATAAACCAGCCATTGTAGTTCAGCATGGAAAGTTCTATGAGAAAGGAAGGCACAGAAAGCTCAGAAAACTTGAATCTAGGAGAAGGATCGTGGCGGAGTAGGAGGCTCTTTCTTGCACCACCATCCAGAACCAAACTGGAACAAAACGAAGAGTGGAACAGCCACCTGAAATAAACAACCAAAGACTACCTGAAGAGGAGACTCTTAACCAAGCAGAAACCACCTCAGGACTGGTAGCAAGGGTGGGAATGCGAAAGGAGCTGGCACCACTCCCACCAGCAACAGGTCAACGTATGGCGCGGCTGGGGAGCTTCCCCCTGAGAGGAGTAAAGCCTGGACCAAGGCCAGGCTCCCAAGCACTGAACACCAGTGCCGGGATCAGCTGCCCACATAGCATCCCGCAGTGAAAGTGCCAAGGAGAGGCGGAACCCATTGGAGACAGAGATACTATTTTTTTCCCTAGGGGGTCAAAGCACAGGTTTCTCGTTCTTAGCCACTCCCTTGGGGTTGGACGGAGGGTGAGCAGTGTGGACTGGCATCACCTGAGTAGAGTCTGGAGTGGGAGACTTTGGGGAGAGACGTGGGGGAATGGCTTTGCCGGGGCATACCTCACTACTGCAGCAGCCATTTTTCTTAAGAAGAGCAAGCCCCTCCCAGGTGAAAAACAATTACCCCACCCTGTGGGAAACTGCTCAGCCCACCCTCTGGAATCCTGCTCACCCCACCCTGTGTCTTTTTTTTCTTACTTTCCCCTACCCTGTATCTTAACCCTTGCTGAGGAGACAGCAACAGAGGCAGACTCAGAGGTTGTCAGAGACTGGCTTTAGGGCAGAGTCATTTCATACACTTTTCCAGGAACCAAACTGGTGCTTTCCCCTCATGGGAGAGCCATAGAAACACCCTCCTGGTTTCTGGCAGACCCAAACACTGGGCTCTGGAAGCCCTACCCACTTTCCTACTAGGTGCTCCATCCTGTTAAGTTCAGGGAAATAATCTGGGACAGACTCAGATGTGTGGTGTCGGGACAGGGAAACACCCACTGTCTTCCCTGAAGTATGAAGGGCACCTCCCTCAGGAGATCCAAGGGTCCAATTCGCCTGACTCCACCAGAAGCCCTGTCAGACAGATCAGTGGCTAGACTAAGAATGACAGCGGGCAAGAGACGAGTGGAGACAGATCTTGTGGTATCTTTGGCTACTTCCTGACCCACCCCTGGGCCCTGTTGTGATAAAAAGCCAGGCTTGCAGTGAAGCTGACTCATTCCAGGCACAGCCAAGCCCAAGACAGCCACAAACTGCAGATTTCTTGTAGATTTGAACAGGCCGCTGAAGGCTACACGTGGACAGCATCTGACATTGGCTTATACCAGCTTCAGACAACATCAGAGCTGTATCCAAAGGGAGAACCCAGCATGCAAGCCCTAAACTCTACTGAGACGGATTCCACTTCATTCTTTTATTTATTTTTTGTTATTTTTTTCTTTTTCATAGCCTTTTTATTATTTTTTCTTTTTCTTCAATTTTTTAATATTTTTCTTTTATATGTCATTTTACTCTTCCCTTTTCTTACTCCATTTTTCCTTTTCTTATTTTTTATTCTTTCCCTTCCTTTTTTTTTTTTTTTAAAATATTCCCTCCTTCTCTTCCTTACCCTTATTGTTTCTCTTCCTTCTCTCTTCTCATAATCATTTTCTTTGGTCTTCTTGTATTTTTATTTTTATTTTACTATTCTATTTCTCCTTCTACTTTTATTATTCTTTGCTGTATTGTTGATTTTGTTGTTATTGCTAGAGACTTTTTTTTTTTTGCTTTTGGTTCTGCTTTTTGGTCTGTCAGCACCTGTACAACAGCACACAAGATGTGGTGGGAGTTGTGCCTTGCAGTCAGCCAGCTGGAGTTGGCACCAACAAATGGGCCAACAACAATCAAATGCCAAATATAATAGGAGAGCCCAGATAACCCACACAAGGGTCATTCCTAGAGAATCCACCTCAGGAGATCAAGGAGATGGCACCATTGAGTCCCATAGGACTTCTACCTCACAAGGTGACTCCATGAACCTAGGGAGTCAAAACAGATCTATCTAACACATAGAAACAAACAAAAAGTGCCAGATCAAATGGGGGAGACAAAGAAACAACCCACAAATGAAAGAAAAGGTGGAATCCCAAGAAAAAGAGCTAAATGAAATTGAGGCAAGCAATTTATCAGACAGAGTTCAAAGTAATGTTTATAAGAATGCTCAAGGAACTTGGTGGAAACTACAAGGAATTTAGTAGGAACTACATTAGCATGGAAAAGGACATAGAAACTATAAATAAGAACCAGTTGGAAATGAAGAATGCAATATCTGAAATAAAGAATGCACTGGAATGAATTAAAAGCAAGCTAGATAAGGCAGAAGATTGAATCAGTGGTTTGGAAGACAAGGTCGAAAAAACACCCAATCAGAGTAACAAAAAGAAAAAAGACTTAAAAAGAACAAGAAGGGCTTAAGGGGACTTTAGGACAACATGAGACAACAATTTCCACATCATAGGGATACCAGAAGGAGAAGAAAGTGAGCAAGGGATAGAAAACCTGTTTGAAAAAATAATGACAGAAAACTTCCCTAACCTGGTGAAGGAAAAAGTCACATGAGTTCAGGAAGCACAGTCCCAATCAAGATGAATCCAAGGAGACCCACACCAAGGCACATCATAATTAAAATGGCATAGTTTAAAGACAAAGAGAGAATCTTAAAGGCAGCAAGAGAAAATAGTTACCTACAAGGGAGTTCCAGCAAGACTGTCAGCTGATTTCTCAATAGAAAAGATTGAAGGCTTCCAGAGGAGGTGATGCTGAGTTGTATTTTGAAAGGTGAATAGGTGTTACCTAGATGAAAATGCAGGGAAAGGCATTTCTGGCAGGAAAATATTGGCATAAAGTATTCAAAGTAATGAAAAGCAAGGATCTGCAACCAAGACGACTCTATACAGCAAGGCTACCATTTAAAATTGAAAGCAAAATAAAGAGTTTCCCAGACACCCCCCCCTCCAAAAAAAAAAAAAGGGCTAAAGGAGTTCATTAACACCAGCCAGCATTGCAAGAGATGTTAAAGGGACTGCTTTACAAAGAAGAAATAGAGAGGAACATAGGTATCAAGGAATAAAATTGCAATGAATAAGTCCCTATAAATAAAAACCATAAATGTAAATGGATTAAGTGCTCCAATCAAAAGGCATAGGGTAGCTGAATGGATAAGAAAACATGGCCCATATATATATTGTCTACAAGAGACCCACCACAGAACAAGAAATTTACACAAACTGAAAGTGAAGGGATGGAAAAATACATTCCATGCAAATGGAGATGAAAAAAATATGGGATAGCAATTTATATATTGACAAAATAGACTTCCAAACAAAGGCTACAACAAGAGACAAAGAAGGTCACTACATAATACTAAAGGGATCAATCTAACAAGAAGATAAAACAAAGCCCAGGGTGAGTAGAAGGAAGGAAATGATCAAGGTCAGAGTGGAAATAAATGACATAGAGACTTAAAAAACAATTCAAAAGATCAATGAATTCAGGAGCTAGTTCATTGAAAAGAAAAAATTGATGAAGCTTTAACCAGACTTACCAAGAAAAAAAGAGGACCCAAATTCATAAAATCAGAAAAGAAAGAGAAGTAACAACAGATATACACAGAAATACAAAGGATTGTAAGGAAATACTATATGCCAAGAAATTGGACAAACTGGGCAAAATGGATACATTTCTAGAAACATATGTTCTTTCAAAACTGAATCAGGAAGAAGTAGAATTCTTGAATAGACTGATAACAAATAATGAAATTGAAGCAGTAATCAAAAAATTCCTGGCAAACAAAATTCCTGGTCCAGATGGCTTCACAGGTGAGTTTTACCAATCATTCAAAGAAGAACTAACACCTATCCTTCTCAAACTATTCCAGAAAATTCAAGAAGATGGAAGACCTTTAAGCTCTGTATAAGAGGCCGGTATTATCCTAATTCTAAAACCAAGAAAAGACACAGCATAGAAAGTAAACTACAGGCCAATATCCCAGATGAAGGTAGAAGCTAAAATCCTCAACAAAATATTAGCAAACTAAATCCAGCAGTACATCAAAAAGATCATACACCAGGATCAAGTGGGGTTTATCTTAGGGATGCAAGGTTGATAACAATATTTGTAAATCAATAAATGTGAAGCATTGCATAAACAAAATGAAAGATAAAAATCACATGATCATATTAATAGAGGCTGAAAAAGCATTTGATAAAATCTAGCACCCATTTATGATAAAAACTCTCAGCAAAATGGAAATAGAGGGATCATACCTCACACAATAAAGGCCATATGCAAAAAACCTACAACATCATACTCAATGGGCAAAAACTAAAAGCGTTTCTTTTAAGAGCAGGAACAAGACAGGGATGTCTGCTGTTACCACTCTTATTCAGCATAGTACTGGAAGTCCTAGCCACAGTGATCAGATAAGAGGAAGAAATAAAAGGCATCCAAATTGGAAAGGAGGAAGTAAAACTGTCATTATTCACAGACAGCGTGATATTG